TTTCGAACTCCTGAGCTCAAACAATCCGCCCGCCTCGGCCTCCCAGAGTGCTAGGATTACAGGCGTGAGCCACCGCGCCTGGCCAGGAAGAAGTTTTTGAAAGGTGAAGAGAACACAGGTTATCCTTAACCAAAAGTGCTGAGTGAGAAGGTGGGTAGAAGAAAAAAGAAAACAAAAAATAATGTACCGTGTCTCTTTGGGGCACATTAATCTATGTTAAGTAATGATTCTCTTAGTGGCAGAAACATGGACTTTAATTAAGGGGCAGGTTTGTTTTTATTTTGTGTGCTAGTGCCTAGCAGTATAAAGTTGCAAAGTCTGTAGCATAAAGCTGAAAGTAATTACTAGTGGAAAGGTTTATTTTGAGAACCAAAGGGAAAAAACCACCACATTTATCCTACTTGTTTGCTATTAACATTTTAATTTGTAAATTGACATACAGTGACTGGGCAAAACTTCATCTAATGTAGTATCCTGTTTATAGTAGGAGGCCACCCTGAGAGTTTCTAAGAGAAACTGCACTGCCTTTTCTGGCCTGGGGTCATGTTTGCTTGGGTACCCCTTTAAAATTTTTTGTCATGCAAATCAGCACCAATTATCTCTCCATCACTTGCTAGTTAGAGAACTAGTTTATTACTGATAAGGTTCCCATCAATCTGGATGAAATTATGTTGCCAGGAACTTAAGTACTTTCCAAGGAAGAGGTGTATTAGATCATTTATATACTGAGTGCTTACTCTATAAGCACGTACTCAATTGCCTTAATATATTTTCACAGTAGCTCAGTAACTCTATGAGGTGGATATTATCACTCTCTCCATTTTACAGATGAGAAAAAGCAGAGACTGAGAGTTAAGTTTCATCTTACAAAGTGTAATATGTGTCAAGATGTCATTTCTCACTACAATAGGTATGTCAAAAGCCATCTAAAGCTGTGAGTCTTGCCCCTTGAGAAAGCAAAGATCTTAGTACAATTATTTCACTCTATAACTTTTTGGGGATTTTGAGGTTCAAGTGTGAAAAACCTGAAAGGCAGAGAATCGTAGCAGAAAGCCAGCATATTTACTGTAGGGTACGAAATGGTAAATGTTACTCTGCCTCGCACAGCTGTCTACCCAGTAGATGTTGACTAAAGATGTATCCAATTATTTTTCTACTGAATACGAAATTCTTCAACTTCAATTCCAATTTAGTAGTCTATATATAACAATATGTATAAACCTATTCTTGGTAGAGAAGGTGTGAATAAAGGGTATCTGTGAGTGATTTTATTTGGTAATCTGAATTTCTTAGTGAAAGGATATTTCTTTAAACAACCAAACTAGTACTAAGAAGGTGACTGATTCAAGTTAATCTCTGGGCTTCCCCTTTAAAAATGCTCACGTTCACAGTCGATGAAAAGGAAATGGAGAAACAGAGTGTGTGGTTGATCCATATGCATGACTGACCCTTGAGTAACTAAGAAGTAACTGTGGGATTAGCTGGCTCTTTGACTCCGTAATATCCTTCAGAATATTGTTTGAGGGATGAAATGAGATAACCAATTTGAAAGTATAATACTTTGAAAACTAAAAATCAGTGGCCACATGCAAGTTATGAATGAGCATCTCCTTTTCGACATTTTTATCCACTGCTGGCCTCTGTGGGTGCTCGTGCTCTCGTTCTTTCTCCGTCCCTTTCACTGTCTGCTTCCCTTTCTCCTCCTCTCTCTCAGATTGGTGAGGGGACTGCATGCAGCAGTGGGAAGGGCCACGTTAACCAGTTTTCTTAGTGTTTGCATAAATGGTTAAGTTACACAGCTTTACTTCCCTCACTCCTTTTTGCACCCACTTCGTATCCTCAGAGAAATTTTAAAATCGCTCTTGAGTTTCCTAGTTTGCTTCGCTCAGATTTGTTCTTTTTAACTTTGCAAGATATGCTCTTCTTCCCCTTTGTCCCATCTGTCTCTTCTTTTTTGCATCTTAAACATGGATGTCAGTAGGTGCGGTGGTGAGCTGGTTGGTCTGGTCATGTGCCTTTTGCATAGTAGATGCTCAAAAAATGTGTTCCTTAAGTGACTGAAATAAGGAAAAAAGAAACAGGTGAGTTGTAAGGTTTTTTTCCTCCTTCAATATTAAAAAAAAACTGTGTTGTCTTAACCTAAATTGGGAAACTTTCTCTATTCAAGTACATGGGATTATGAGGTCTCAACTGTTTGTCTTAAATATTGTTGTTTCTCCTTGTAATGTAACAGGCAGAACATAAAACTTCTTTGAAGTGAAGTAGGAGTGGTGTTTTTTTGAAGTATTCAAAAATCTTTTTTTACTCTTTCGGCATTATATAACTTTATAGCATGAGGAAATAATTTTTCTGTGGAATTCTCTGAAAGCAATATTAAATTCTAACATATCATCATAGACTATTACCAATCAATGTTCACTTTAAGAGCCTTGATGATTGGTCTGTTTTCAACTAGTGTGTTTATTTGCTTGCACTTGTGAGTGTTGATCTGAAGGAACCCATTCCTGGATTTGTTGACATGATTAATGTTTTCTCCTTCCATTTTTTTTAAGGAAATGGCAAAAATCCTTAATCATCCCAGAGTCTACGCGTTTCTGCACATACCAGTCCAATCTGCCTCTGACAGCGTCCTCATGGAAATGAAAAGGGAGTACTGCGTGGCTGACTTCAAAAGAGTCGTGGATTTTCTGAAAGAGAAGTAAGTCTGTTAGTACTTAAGAAAATAACCATTTCTTTTTTCTTTCAAAACCATGTGGCAAAATGCACTTACTGCTGCCTCACAATTAAAGGTACAAGAGAGAAGGCGAGACTTTCGAAGCTCTCAAAGCCTTTAAGTTTCCTTGGGCCCCTTTGATGTGGGTTTTTCTTTCTCCTCAGTTTATATCCACCTTCCATCTGTACATGACACACCGTTAATTTGTGTAAGATTGCCAGTCTTTTTAAGGTAATGCGAATTGTGATTATTTTTATACCTGAGCTGGTAGATGAAAACTGCTTTAGCTTTGCTCTGCTTAAATCTCCTTTAATGTGGCTTTTTGAAGTTGTGAGCTGATTTTGACACGGAGGTAGGCCAAATCGTTTCACTACAAAATAGATAATTTTCTACTAAATAGCATTTTTTCTTAACGAGTATCTGGAATGTCTTTTCTTTTACATACTAATCCCTGTAGTTTGCTTGAGGAATTGTGATTTATAAGGAGGTTTGAGGATTCTGTTTTTTAAAGTTCAAATTGCTATTGACCAAAATTAAGGCATATTTACACAGTCTCAGACATGAACGATAATTTTGTTTCCACAGAAAACACTTGCAGCCCATAATTATGTTCTTCAAAATCCTATTTCTCATCATCACCAAACATTGAATGCCTTCTGTGATTATGCAAGGCAGGAAATAGAAGTGCTGGCCAAGGTCATATGGAGCCTTCTCAAGTCTAGGGCACTGTTCTTCCCTCTGGGGGTATATCATTTATCTTGGCATATTTGTGGCATGGGTCTTCCTACTTTCCATAAATTTTTTTCCATAATTTTTCTTCTCTCATTTTTCTTAATTAAGATACAATTTTTCATTTCCATATTCTTGTTTATAATTATGTACCTTTGTACTGTGTTGAAGTACTACATGGATATGATTGCTTTCTACAAATTGTAAACAATTATTTTTTCCAACTTTAATTAGTCATTTATCCTGACTGCATATGATTGTTTTCAAATCTTTTTACTTTTTCCTTCTTTCTGTATCTTTTTTTCATGTATCTTTCTAATTTGTTTTTTTTTTTTTTTTTTTTTTTTTACCTTTAGGCATTTCTTGATTATCCTAACCACCGGGAATAAAGACACTTAGTGTGCAGACAAATACAGCTGATCTTTCAAATATTCAAATCAGTGAATAGAAGGGATATTTATTCCAAGATTTTATGATTATTTAGTACATACAGGCTTCAAAGTAGAAAACAATAACAACAGATAGATCTCTGCCATCTCTAATATTTTCATATCTTGAACAGAACCCGACAAGGCTAAAAAGTGAAGCTTTTTATGTTACATGTCTATTGTTGGTGCACATCCCATCCTTGCATTTAATTCTAAATTATTGCAGCTAAACTTGTCTCATGCAAGAGAGTTTTTTGGTCGCACTGGTACTGGTGAATGGAATGTTTTCAAAATTGCAAAAAAATTGTTTTATCTATGAAATTTCTCTTGCCCTCTTTGCTTATTAAAGCAGTAGCAAATAATGTGCACACTTCATACTTGTTACACAATATGTTGCTGAGTGTAGGCGTGCATCCCATTGTGCAGAATAGACTAAAACACTTTCCAAATAGTTTTTGCATTAGTGTTATTAAATGAGGTTAGGGAATTAGCACCTCTGTTATCTCCATTTGGGTGAGTGCTGACTCAGTTGTTTGGGGAATTACTGTGGCTACTTACCTGGGCAACAGTTTCACAACAAGTTCTAGCCTTTTATGTTGCTCTGAAGATGGAACTGTTAAATCTGTTGCATCTTGAACAGTTTCAACAGCCTCCGTGAGCTATATAGAGGTGAAAAGATGATCACAATAAGATATTAGAAAATAGTCTCTTGCCTATATTCATGGGCTAAATAAAGTCAGGGCTAAAGTCTGAAAGAATTCCTTTCTTTGGATTATGAGTTACTGTGAGGCATCCATGTAGCTCTTCTAGAAGTGTTCAACTAACTGGAGGATCTTAGAACCAAACACATTGCCCAGGGATATCTAGTATTTCTGGCAACAGAAATATCAAAGATCCCTGGAGAGGATATTGGAGATGCCTGAAGAAGACACCCCATCCCATACCCATCCATCCACAAATTCAGTTTCAAATGCTGTGAATCACTAGAATTGTGGAGTATGAGTCTAGCTAGTTAGCATCTTCAAGAGATTTTAAAATTAGCACTGTATTGTGTATATACAGAAAAGGCAGAAGCAACCTAGGTATATAATTTCACATTTAGATTATAAGTAAGATATAGTAGAAAACTGTAGCAGGCAGCCAATAGGACATACCAGTATGTATATCTGACTACATGGCAGATGACTGAAAAATTTTCAGGTACCTTATTTTAAAAAAAGAAGAAGAAATCGGGTTATCACTGCTAATAAAGTGATCCTTGCCTTGTTTTAGGCAATTCATCAGAACCATAAAGTTGTGTGTTTCATCCAGTCCATCCTGTTGTTTGTGAAGAATAATATAGTACAGCCTTACTCCTGTGAGGATGGTATGATACAGCTTTGCCCTTTAGTAAAAAAGAGTTTTCCTGTCTTCTTGGGTAAGTCTGTCCATCTAGTGAGTAATTTTCAACTCTTATGGACATTTAGAAATAGATGAAATATTTTAAGCAAACTTCTCTTATATTTGGCTTACTTTTCTCCATAAAAACTAGCATAGCTTTATGCCAAATAGATTAGTATTTATTTTGGAAACACCGAAGTTTCAGGGCTTTCTGTAGAACCATTAGTCTGCGAAACCGATCTAGCACAAATTTTTTTGTCCAGACTTTATTAAAATTCAATACAGTATCTTCATTCTTAGAGGGCCTAACACTGTCATGGTGCCCTGATTTGTGCCTAACACTCGTTCATAAAATGATCTGGACTTAAAATGGTATGTTGGGTGCTTTCTTCTTCTATTTGCTTTTAAATCCTATCTAAATGTGGACCTTTTCATTTATATCTTGTTTCCTCTGAAGTCTTTGAAGCATTTTTTGTAATTACCCTTTGACAAATAAGAGTCAGTCTCACACACACACACACACACACACACACACACACACACACACTCTCTCTCTCTCTCTCTCTCTCTCTCTCTCTCTGTCTCTCTCTCTCTTTCTCTGCTTTTTCTTTTTCTTTCTCCAGCAGTATGAGGCTTCTCAAATATTCATGTTATGAATTAGGGACAAGGCATTACCTGATCTGCTTCCTCAAAAAAATCCAGTCTTTAAAACAACCTACAGCATTTGAGACTGAAACCCAACCTATGGGAGTTTACCTGAAACTGTAGGCTTTTAAACTTCTAATTCAGTGGTGTTTGTGGAGCCATGTTTCTCAAACAGTGGAGGTGAAATCTTTTTAATTAATTTTCTTTACAGTTGAAAATGGCCCATGTTTTAGCTGGGAGCAATATAAGTTTACATATGAGCCAAGTTGAAGCTGATTCATTATTCTCTTCAGTTGTTTGGAAGTTGGCAGCTATTATCATAACAGCAGCTGGATAGAAGATAACCTAGTAGTGTTGGCACATGTTGAGGCATATGGGAATTTATTAAATCATGCAACCTTTGCAAAGAGGAGTGTGTAAATTACTTAATATACTAATTTAAAACAGCTGGTCATGAACAGTCACATGACTTACATTATTCTATTCAGATTTATTAATCCAGTTGAACATTAACTAATTTGGTGTTTTTATTTAAATGGATAAGATGATTTTTTGAAATATGTGATGGGATTTATAGGACTATGGGAAGAAAACTATTAATACATAGAATGAACAAGAGGTGCAAGTCTAGTTTTAGAAAGAATCTGTATTTTTATATTTTTTTAATAAATACCTCATAAATTTTACTACTTTCACTCATTATCACTTAACTGGTATCTCTGTTATCTTTTTAATATATTACTGGGACTAAAAAAAGTATAAAACTTGAATGATTCACTTTTTTTCATGTAATTTTGAGTTACTTCCCAATTGAAAGATTTTTTGCTTCATTATGGTAAGGATGATATAATTAGGGTTCCCAGGACCTTGAGGCCTTGGATGTGGACTTTAATTGGGCCCTGCTTCTTTGAGCAGCTGTGAATTTACAGTCACTCTCCAACATAAACCGTGTGTTAACATACATCCAAAAAATGACAACATGCAGAATTCTTAAGCATATGTTTTAATGCTAAGTAAAAGAATCTGAATCCTCAAATTCACGCATTAAAGTGTGAAGGAAACATATAAGAATGTCCTATTAATGGATACATTTTAAAAAATGAAACAGTTTATATATAAAAGACCTATCTGTTTAGACAAATTACTTTGTTGGAAGTTCAGTGACTTTTTGGCTTATTTTAACTAGACCTTAACTAGTTAACATCTCTATCTTCCTCACTTCGTAAATACATTTTCAGTGAATTAACAGACAGTATGTATTTACCTACAAGTTGCATGGATCTAAAGTAAGTTTCATCTTACTGTAGCATTTTCATGTTGATTTTTAATCCTATGATATCAGAATTTGCCATTATCATTTGTTAATGTACTGTGTACTTCAGGGTTAATTTGTTTTGTTTGTGATAGAATATTAACCCTTTTAGCACTGTGAGATTCTTTCCTATTCCCCTAAGTTTGTTATATCCAGAGATTGCCCAGTGAAATGCCACAACTAATAAGCAATAAGCATTTATTCAGGGGTAAAGGGGAATCCTTTTTTGGGGGGGGTAGGAGAACAAGCTAGAGGGGGAAATGGCAGCCTTGCAGAGTTTCATCATCTGATCTCTCCACTGTGCACTCATCCAGTGAAGGGGCACAAGGGCACAAAGCCAGTATCACTCTGGCAGGATGAGTTCTGTGAGTCATTGAGTTAACTCATATTGTCCAGCCTATCCTATGACCTACTTTTCCTGTCTTTCTGCAAAAAATGATGCTAATTTATTAACATCCTGAGTTATTTTTCTCTCCCGTTAGTCCATGTGT